CAGGTGCTGGTGACCAACTTTGACAAATACTCCAGCCGCCACTGCTGCTGCAAGAAGCCGCGGCGCATCAGCAAGAAGGATTTCCGCAAGATGCTGAGCTGCGAGCTCAACCACATGCTGACGGTGAGGCCGGGGCGCGCGGGGCCAGGGGACTGGCTCCCCCCACTTCCACGGGGGGGCCCCCCCCCCCTGCCACCCCCCTTTCCCCGCCGCCCCAGGTGTGAGCGGCTCCGCTCTCTCTCTCCCCCAGGACACCGGGAACCGTCGAGCGGCCGACAAGCTCATCTGCGACCTGGATGAGAACAAAGACGGGCGCATCAGCTTCGAGGAGTACTGGACCTTGATAGGCGGCATCGCCAGCCCCATCGCCCAAATCATCCGCCAGCAGGAGCAGAGCACCAAGCACACCAAGTAGCCGGCTGCATCCGGACCCCCCTCTCCGGGCTCAGCCCCCACCCCCATCCTGGGCTCAGCCCCAGCTTCTCCTCGGCTCCCCGCTTCTCGCCTCTCCTGCTGCCGAGCACCGCCCCGAGCCCCAGCTTGCCCCCCGGGGACACCCCGGTCTCCCACGGCTTTGCGGGCCGAGCCATGCCAGGGTGCGATGGGGGCGGGGAAGACCCAGTGGGTGGGAGCTGGGGGGTGCGAGGCCATCACAGCCTCGGGGGGCTCCTCCTTGCCCCATGCCACCACATCCCTGCCCTCACACTCTCCCGCAAGCCCTGCCCTTGCTAGGCAAGGAGCAAAGGGAGAGGCATCCCCTCATCTAGGACATGAATTCTGTCTGTTCTCAGACCTCTGGGGCACGGCCCCGCTGGCAGAAACCCCATCGTGACCGGGACTCCCTCTCCCCATGGAGTTCCCTCTCAAAGTTGGGGGGGTCTTCTTGGGACAAGGGTGCCTTTCCCCCTGCCCAAGCTGGTGAAGGGTCTGACCTGCCCGCGCTGCCTGGTGCTCTGGGCCTTCGGGCTCAGGGAGCGGCGCGGTCCCACCCGGGCGACACCACCCTGGTTATTTATTGCAGCAATAAAGTTTTGGAGGAGCAGTGGGGGTGCGGCTGAGGCTCTGCCTTCTCATGGGCTGCCCCGCAGCATGGGGGCACCGAGGGGACGCGGGGGACCAAGGGAGGGGTCTGCCCTGTCCCCCGTCACCCAGGCAGCCATGGGGTGCCCTGAGCTGGCGATCGCGCCCATCCCAGCGCTCCCTGGGGCTGACAGAGCCACCACGAGGTGTCAGCAGACACCATGGCCACCCAGCACCCCACTGGCCCCGCAGCACCCTGCGCTGCTCCCTGGGGCACAGGGTGCGGACACTGCTGCCACATGTCCTGGGGGACCCTCTCCATGTCCCCACCTGGGATCCTCGAGCAGCCCGGGACTACAAACCCTGCATCTGTGCACGGCCAGGGCATGGCCACCCCAACCCCGGGCCATCTCGGGGGAACCCTGATTCCCGTGCTTTGCGTGCCCCCCAGCCGGGGTGGGGGATGAGGCCAAGTTCGGCAGCCCCATGTGTGCCGGGACACCCCAAGGCCAGCAGCACCCGGCAAGGAGGGTGCTGCAGCCCAGCTCGCAACGCCCACGGTGTTGGCGCGCAGCCCTAACGCCTGCCGGGGATTTTCCACTGGGAGGGGACTTGGCCCCAGACCTGTCAGCATGGCGGGGGCCCCCCGAAACCCCCAACCCCACGGCGGGGGGGAGGGGAGGGGGGGAATGCCAGCACCTTGGGAGTCAGGACCCCCAGCCCCTTCCAGCCAGCCCCCCTCTCTGACCCTGCGGGGCATGGCTGGCCCCTGCCCGTCCCCCTGCCCGTGCAGCCCACCTCCCCCTGCCCGTGGAGCACCGGGGGGTCCTGGGCAAACTGGGGGTGCCCCCGGTTGGGGGACGGCGCAAGCTGGGCAGGGCTGTGGCTGAGTCACAGTGGAGGAATCCCTCTCGGCCGAGGGCAGGGCTGGTGACTCACGCCGCTGTGCGTGGGGCGAGCGGAGCTTGGTCGGGCGCTGCACCCGGCTGCTCACATGGTATCCCAGCCATCCGGCGGGATCCAGGGTAGGCTCTCAGGGCCTCTGCAAAAGGGACCCTTGGGGCGAGGGGCAGCCAGCCCCCCCTCAACCTCTCATTTTCTAGATGCAGGTCCTCCGCAGCGCATGGAAACCACCCAGGTTGTCCCCTTCCCCATGCACGCTTCCCCAAAGGACCCCGGGCACCTGGGCCGGGGCTCCGAGCGGCCGCAGCCCCCGTGCCCGTGCTGCTCATGTTATCTCCCACCCTGGAGCAATTGTGGGTGTATGGGGAACCCGGGGGGGGGTGCACCAGCGTGCAGGGGCCTGGTG